AGGCYGCCGGCCTCCCGTGTCCCATGTGAGGCCGCGGGCCTCCCGAGCCCCACGTGAGGCTGCCGGCCTCCCGAGCCCAGTGCAAGGCCATCGGCCTCCCGAGCCCCACGGGCCTCCCGAGCCCCACGCGATGCTGCGGGCCTCCCGGGTGCCATGCGTGGCCACGGGCCTCCAGGACTCCACAGGCCTCCCAAGCCCCACACGCGGTCACTGGCCTCCTGAGCCCCACGGGCCTCCCGAGCCCCGTGCGAGGCCATGGGCCTCCCGGACCCCATGGGCCTCCCAAGCCCCACACGTGACCGCTGGCCTCCTGAGCCCCGTGGGCCTCCCGAGCCCCGTGCGAGGCCGCTGGCCTCCCAAGCCCCGTGGGCCTCCCAAGCCCTGTGCGAGGCTGCCGGCCTCCCGGACTCCATGGGCCTCCCGAGTGCTGTGTGAGGCCATGGGCCTCCTGAGCCCCGTGGGCCTCCCGAGCCCCACGTGAGGCCGCCGGCCTCCCGAGCCCCGTGGGCCTCCCAAGCTCTGTGCGAGGCTGCCGGCCTCCCAAGCCCCATGGGCCTCCCGAGTCCTGTGCGAGGTCGCCGGCCTCCCGAGCCCCATGGGCCTCCCGAGCCTGGTGCGAGGCCGCCGGCCTCCCGGACCCCCCGGGCCTCCCGAGCCCCCTATGAGGCTGCTCTCTCGCCGCAGGACCCTGCCCGGAGCCGGCGCCGTGAGGATGTCGACGCCGGAGCCGCCGCTGGGCGGCACGCCGCGGCCCGGCCCCTCGCCAGGCCCCGGCCCCTCGCCCGGGGCCATGCTGGGGCCCAGCCCTGGCCCGTCGCCCGGCTCCGCACACAGCATGATGGGCCCCAGCCCCGGGCCGCCCTCGGCCGGGCACCCGCTGCCGCCCCAGCCGCCCGGCGCCTACGCTCAGGACAACATGCACCAGATGCACAAGGTAAGCCTCGGCCGCGCGCCGGCCTCTCTCCTCCAAAAAACATCCAAATCGCCCCGGTTTGGGCTTTTTCTGCGGTCTCCCGCTTGGTGTTTTTGCTGGGGAGCGCAGAAAGCCGGAGAAGCTGCACGAGGCTCGAGTTGATGGTTCAGTTTTTCGGCTGTCAGCTCTGCTCTGGGTCTCTYGGGCTGGCTGAAAACCTGGATTTCRGGTTCAGCCCCAGGATTTCWCCTCCTGAGTGTGGAATGCAGGAGCGTGAGGCTGCTCCCGAAGGTTCCTGGCCTTCCAGGGCTCCCTGGGACTTTGGAGGCAATGAGCAAGTGAACAAGCCTCCTTTTTCCTTTCCATTCCCACAGGCAACGCGTTGGGTCTTTTTGTTTTTTTAAAGAAATATAAACTACCTAAAGCCCCTTTTTCGTAGCAGTTCTCAGGAGTCCTCGAGTTTTTTGACCGCCTCCAGTGTCGTAAGCTCAGAGACTGGAGGGAGAAACGGGAAAACGTTTACTTTAAGTCTCTTAAATGTAGCCTGGCACTGAGTCCTCCTCTCGCGTGGAGGAGCCGTTAAGCCAGGCTCGTTAGCGCGTTGGGCGCCCGCCACTCGAGCAGCTTTTAGGCTGTGGCTTTCTCTCTTGCAGCCCATGGACTCCATGCACGAGAAGGGCCTCGCCGACGATCCCCGCTACGGCCAGATGAAAGGAATGGGAATGCGGCCCGGCGGGCACGCGGGAATGGGCCCTCCTCCGAGCCCCATGGATCAGCACTCGCAAGGTGCCTTCCTTTCCCCAAACCTTCCTGATTTCATAGCGTGCGCGATGGGAGCGGGCGCAGGGGCTCGCCCTTGGCGGGCGCCCGCTGCCGAGGCCTTTGCTGTCAGAAATGGGCCGGGTTTTGTTGGGGGGTGCGCCCCACTGACCCCCCTGTCCTTGCAGGGTACCCCTCTCCGCTCGGCGGCTCCGAGCACGCGTCGAGCCCGGTCCCGGCCAACGGCCCGTCCTCCGGCCCGCCGCTCTCCTCGGCTCCCGGCGGCGTCCCGCTCGACGGCGCCGACCCGCAGGCGCTGGGGCAGCAGAACCGCGGGCCCACGCCCTTCAACCAGAACCAGCTGCACCAGCTCCGAGCTCAGATCATGGCCTACAAGATGCTGGCCCGYGGCCAGCCGCTCCCCGACCACCTCCAGATGGCCGTGCAGGGCAAGAGGCCCATGCCTGGGATGCAGCAGCAGATGCCGACGCTACCTCCGCCCTCCGTGTCCGGGACAGGACCGGTGCAAGGACCAGTGCAAGGGCCTGGCCCAGGACCAACACCTCCCAACTATAACAGACCTCACGGTGAGTGTCGCGGGCTGAAAACGCGTGTTTTCGGCCTCTGGGGCGGCTTTGGCCTGCGCTGCTGCTTTTTCTTTCATCCTCCTTTAAAACTGGGCCGGCGTTGCCCAGGTTTAGGCTAAAAAACAGGACAATTTGGTTTGTGGCAATTTGTTTCCTGGGAGCGAGGACTTTGTCCAGGAGGGAAGGCTGAATCTGGGCCCTGTGGCGTCAAATGAACGAGGAGAGACTCCTCTGGGCAGGTCTGACTGTAGGTGGGTTGGTTCATCCGCCTGTAGTCGGCAGGGACAGGCGCACCCAGGGCTTTACCCGCTTGTGGAAAGCGCGGTGCAGCTCCGGAGGCAGATGGAGACGCTTTGCTCTCGGTAAACGCACGCAAAGGTCGAGCGGTTGTGATTTAATTTAAACAATATCTCACTGATGGTTTTTTTTCCTTCATGTGCAGGTATAGGAGGGCCTAACATGCCCCCTCCCGGCCCCTCAGGAGTTCCCCCGGGAATGCCTGGGCAGCCCCCCGGCGGCCCCCCCAAGCCCTGGCCTGAAGGTAAAGCGGGGAGCTCTGCCGGTCCCGTCCGCGCGGCGGGGATGTCACGGGCCAAGGCAGCGGTTGTCAGGGGGTGCTTCTGCCCAGCTGCTTGGAAATGGGGTTAAAAAGCCCCTCAGTGGTGACTGGGCTCTCCAAAGACCTGGGTTAACTTAGGCCGAAGGGCGGGCTGAGCTTTATGGGACTGGCAGGAAGGTCTCTGTGCTCCGAGGCAGCTGGCCAAGGGTTAATGGCTCAGCCYGGCTCGGAGGCTGCTCCGTTTGTTTGCTGCTGCATTTATGGGTGGCAGATGGGTGGTGGCTTCAGGTGCAGGCTTGGGAAGTCAGGCTTGTGGGCACAAGATGGCTTTCCTTTTCCAGCGACGGGAAGCGCCTCGGGGGGAGAGAGAAACATCAGGATTTTTCCTAAGGGAAAGGAGAGAAACGGGGTCTGCTCTGTTTCCCGGCAGGACCAATGGCGAATGCTGCAGCCCCCACGAGCACACCTCAGAAACTGATCCCTCCGCAGCCGACGGGCCGGCCGTCGCCGGCGCCGCCGGCCGTGCCGCCCGCCGCCTCGCCCGTGATGCCGCCGCAGACGCAGTCGCCGGGGCAGCCGGCCCAGCCGGCCCCCATGGTGCAGCTGCACCAGAAGCAGAACCGCATCACGCCCATCCAGAAGCCGAGGGGGCTCGACCCGGTGGAAATCCTGCAGGAGCGGGAGTACAGGTGAGGGCACGGCGCCTCCTTTGGCCTCGCGGGGTCTGAGCTGAAGGGGCTGCCTCTTTCTTTGCCTTTTTCAGCCCCCTGCTCCTTTTGGTTCCCTTGAGGAACACCGTAATGATTCCCCGTCCTCGTTCACATCTCATTAATGTGTGATGTACAGAGAGAAGCGGGTGAAACTTCCTCCTGAAACTTCTCTTCAGGCCATCTCRTCCCTTCTGCTTTCCAGGGGCTCACACCAGTTTGATGTTTTGTTAGCTGTCTGTCTGTTAGAGTCTCTCTGCTATAATAATTTATTACACAAGAGTTAAAACTCTGGATGCCAAAGGGATATTGGGCTGCCAAGGACCCCACCATCCTAGAGAGGCTTTGACAAGTCGGAGTTGTATTTGGTAGCTTCAGTTTGCTGGATTTTGCCCGTCATGACACTTGCCTCCTTCCTTCGCAGACTGCAAGCGCGTATTGCTCACCGAATCCAAGAGCTCGAGAACCTTCCTGGGTCCCTGGCTGGTGACCTGAGAACCAAAGCTACCATTGAACTTAAAGCACTGAGACTGCTCAACTTCCAGAGACAGGTAGGTGTTTGTCACCCCAAAACGCCTCAGTCCTGGTTCTCCGCGACGGGGCTGAGCCTCGAGCCACGAAACGCAGGGAATTCTCATCCTCCCGGAATGAATTCCTTCTTTTTAACATCCACCTCTGCCACAGCTGCGTCAGGAAGTCGTGGTGTGCATGAGGAGGGACACGGCCTTGGAAACGGCCCTCAACGCCAAGGCCTACAAGCGCAGCAAGCGGCAGTCCYTGCGCGAGGCTCGCATCACCGAGAAGCTGGAGAAGCAGCAGAAGATTGAGCAGGAGCGGAAGCGCAGGCAAAAGCACCAGGTCAGCCGGGATACGGTGGCACGYTGGGGCGAGGGCTGCCCCTTTCCCAGGCAGCTTGGGCAGCTGGAATTCCCGGGAGTTGTGGAAAGAGCTCCCAAGTTAGTCTGGGAGAATTACGCTGAACGAGGAAGCTCGGTGTCTGTATTGGAGAATATAGTTAATCTCACTTGGCTCGTGCTGTTAGAAGCATGTGTTAAYGCAGCGCAAGTGCTGACTGCCCCTTGGTTTTCTTTCCTCTTTGCAGGAATACCTCAACAGCATTCTGCAGCATGCTAAGGATTTCAAGGAATACCACCGGTCCGTCACGGGCAAAATCCAGAAGCTCACCAAGGCGGTGGCCACGTACCACGCCAACACGGAGCGCGAGCAGAAGAAGGAGAATGAGAGGATCGAGAAGGAGCGAATGCGTCGCTTGATGGTAAGGCTTGGTCCAGAGAGCTGTATATATGTACATATATATACATATAGCTGTTTCAGGGGTGCCTGGTGAGATGCTGTGTACTTTGGGGTGTTCATGCTGCTTACACTGGTTGTAACCTACTTGCCCCATGGCAGATGTCGGTGGTTTGTTGCTAGCAGGGTCTCAGTGTTCCTTTTATTCCCCTCAGGCTGAGGATGAGGAAGGATACCGCAAGCTGATTGATCAGAAGAAGGACAAGCGCCTGGCCTACCTGCTGCAGCAGACGGACGAGTACGTAGCGAACCTGACCGAGCTCGTGCGGCAGCACAAGGCTGCGCAGGTGGCCAAGGAGAAGAAGAAGAAGAAGAAAAAGAAGGTGAGTTAGGAGTGAAGCTCTGCGTGTGACCAGGGGGGTGCCTTGGCAAGAACCAGAGCGGTGCTTGCTGCTGGGGCCGGGGGAAAGTCAGACTCAAATATCCTCTCTGTTGGAGGCTGTTTGGGACAGGAACCCGATTTGCAGGGTTGTTGCAGCTGGACTTGGGCTGGGTCTGCTCTTCTGCCCCCTAATCCAGCTTTTTGGGGACAGAGCAGGGCACCGAAATGGCTCGTTGGTCGCAGCTTTGCTTTTGTGCTTTCCTTCTGTGCTGAGCTGCTCAGACCCCTCTCCCTTTTCTTTCAGAAGGCAGAGAATGCAGAAGGGCAGACTCCTGCGATCGGACCAGATGGCGAAGTAAGCCAAATAATCTTATTTCATGCCATGCCAAGTAGGATAGAAAACATTTGTCAGCCATGTGCTGGARAGCCTGCTGTAATCCCTCGTGCCGAGAGGCTGGCTGCAGCGAGGAGTTTTAGTGCAATAGGCGGCTAAAGAGAGACCTCCCAAAATAGAACCGGCCCCGCGGCGCAGAGAAGTGTCTCCTTTGCCGTGAGCAGCGTGAACGGCTCACACGGGAAGCCCAGGCCTTGCAGCAAGGCTTCAGACACGCTGGGGAGAGGATGATTTAGTATTCAGGACATCTGGGAGCTGATGGACCCCAGTTGGGCGTCCTCCAGGGACGCAGATTTGCTGCGTTATCTCCGACACGTCATTGCGGGGTTCGGATTCACGTCACCCCGCCCCAGATGGGTTATCTGGTCCCGGGGGCAGTGGGGACAGTTTGTTCCGCGGGAGACTGGCCCGTCCTCCGCAGCTGCCTTCACCTGCTGCCTCCGGCTGATAAACCTTCCCCGCACACACGCGWGGTGAGGATGAGCGCGCAGACCAGGACCAGACGTTCAGGTGCAGCTGCAGTGGAGCTCTGCACATGCCAGCCAGGGATTCATGACTTCACATATGTAAACAGCCCAGATAATGCACCGGGMTAATCCGTGTGCTTAAAACTACATGTGCTTAAGACTTTGTGAAATCCCTTGTGAGCGGAAGAGCTTTTCCGCGGTAGTTAGTGATATTTTAAATTAGTCACTCCTTTATTAATGCTGTTTGGCACCTGAATGTACCCTCTTTGTTCCACAAGCAGAGTCTTAATTTGTACATTTCGTTTTTAGAAAGAAAATGTTGAATCTTTGCCCATCCTTTCATGAAGCGGTTTTTAAAACAGCCGCTTCCTTCCTCGCTGCTGCTGTTGTGGTGCTTAGGTGGGGGTGGTTGGTGTAAACACAAGCCCTGTTTTGAGGTGGAGAACGAAAAATCCTCATCTGCAGTATGTCCTTGCTCTCCCAGCCTCTGGATGAGACGAGCCAGATGAGCGACCTCCCCGTGAAGGTGATCCACGTGGAAAGCGGCAAGATCCTCACCGGCACGGACGCGCCCAAGGCCGGACAGCTGGAAGCCTGGCTGGAGATGAACCCAGGGTGAGTTGGTGCGGGCCACGAGTCGGTACTGGTCCCTCCGCTCCCTATCCGACACATCCCAGAAAATCACGGGSTGATTTTCCCTCGTGGAGCCCTTCAGGGGATTGAGACCCATGTTCCGGACTGGTTTGGCAGTAAGAAAAGCGCTGGGCRTTGGCTTGGGCCCAAAGCCCGAACTCGGGAAGCGCAGGGAGCCGCAAGAAGCGGCGCTGGAGACCACAAGGGCGAGATTTGCTCGCTCGCGCTCCGCTCTGCGGCAGCTCGGATCGTCTGGGGAGGATCCACAGGGGTTCCTAGTGGGTGGCCCCGCACTGGGGCTCTGGGCACGTATGGTTTTCCAGGAGCACATGTGAAAACTTGAAACCAGTAAGGAAAAATAAACCAGCATTTTGTGATAAAAAATAATACTATAAACAGAATTCCGGTTTAATCCMAGGGTTTATAGGACCATGCTCATCTGGTGCTTTGTGTAGAGCGGTGTTGGTAGCAGCTTTGAAATTAAATATTAATGTTTCTATTTAATTAGATATGAAGTGGCGCCAAGATCTGACAGTGAAGAAAGTGGGTCAGAGGAAGAGGAGGAGGTAAGGAGAAATATCACCAGACGTTTTTGTGCTTTAATATTTCAAATATTTTTGAGAGAATGGGAGGCAGCGGTAAGCGTAACCTACAGCACAAAGCTCATCTCAGTGCTTGCTTTTTTCCAGCACAGCTCTGTGCAGGTCCAAYTAAAATAAGCATATCTAGGGTAAACTGGAAAGCCATGTAAAGAGAAACCACAGGCAGAATGTGGAATAGGGAGAGTTTAGTTTATTAGCAGTCTGGTTTTCTTCCTGAATATTTTTTTTCACATAACTCTTTGGACATTCAGAAGCAAATGCTGTGAAGCTCTGCTTCTTTCTTTTGTTTTYGGAGCTTCCTAACACTGCTACGGTGCCCTGGACTTCCTTGACCCACTGCTACAACAGGGATCGTTGTTCTTTTGCTGCAGTGTCCCCTGTTTTCAGGGCTTCTCTGCCCATGATGTGCCATTGAGCCAAACTGTCTTCCTACCTTGGGTTCTGGGCAGAAAAAATAGTGTTTTTCAAAAAAAATATGCTGAGAAAATGCCCTGCACCTTTTTATTGGAGCCTGCTCTGCGGGTGCCTCTGGAGGTGTAACGGGAGGGTTCCTCCACGGAAAGGTTTTGCACCGGCTCTGTCCCTGCTCCYGGGGCTGTTGTGCAGGTCTTCCTGCTGTTTCCAGCCCGTGCATGACAATAAGTCGCTGTCTCCCCTGGCAGGAGGAGGAAGAGGAACAGCCCCAACCTGCTCAGCCTGCCCTGCCTGTGGAGGAGAAGAAAAAGATCCCGGATCCAGACAGTGACGATGTGTCAGAAGTGGATGCCAGGCACATTATTGAGTAAGCTCCACCTCGTGCCTTTCTGGTTTAAGAGGGGTGCTTCCCTCTGTCTTTTTCCCCCCATTAAAGGTTGGGGTGGAGGGACAGGATGGAGTGGTTGCTCCAGGAAGCTTTGCTGGAGGTAGCCGACACACTGATACCTGCCAGAGGGAAGTTTCTGCTGCTATTTTGGGGGCAGAAAAGAACTTCTTGTGCTCCTTTGGCTGCAAGAAGCCTTTCACCACGTGAAGTTACTTGTAATACTCGAATTTTAGCTACTCCAACTTTTACACTTTTAAACTCTGAAGAGTCTTTGCTGTTAGTACAGCACAGACCAAGGACCTCATGGTTTTTAGCTTATAGTGTGAGTAGGATTCARAATATTGAGGCTTCTGTTGCAAAGTCGGTCCCTTTCCCAATTTTCAAGTGTTTTGTGTCAAAGGAAGGAAATAGAGGGGCAGGCAGTGTTTGCCTTGCGCCTGGTTCGGGAGAGCAGCTTTCCAAAAGGAGAGCTGATCCGGTTTGTGTTAGGAGAACGGAATTAACCACCCCAGGCATCGATGGGGCTCCTGAGCTGTATCCCAGCGGGATCGTCTTCCTCATCTCCGCCTCTTTCCCTCCCCCAGAAACGCGAAGCAAGATGTCGACGACGAATACGGAGTCTCCCAAGCTCTGGCCAGGGGCCTGCAGTCCTATTACGCCGTGGCGCACGCGGTCACCGAGCGAGTGGACAAGCAGTCCACTCTCATGGTCAACGGCGTCCTCAAGCAGTACCAGGTGAGTGGCTGTCCGGCCCGGGAGCGACGCTTGGCAGGACGCGGCGGGATCGGGGCTGTTGGAGACGCTCCTGGCCGCGGGAAGCAGGAGCTGAGGGCAGAGCTCGCGTGTCCCTCCCTGGTGGGACAGGAACTCCCTGGAGAAACGTGAGGACGTGCAGGGAGCCAGGCTGCTGGGCTCTGGCTGGCACCAGATCATGAGCTGGGCTTACGTGCTGCTCGCAGAGAAGAATGTTAACTCACCGCCCGATCCCGAAAGCAGAGGAATGCATTAAGGCCACTGCCTGGCTTTGAATAATTAAAACAAGTTGCTTAATGGTGCATAGGGAGGTCATCTACATAATGCATGAGCAGGGGGTGGGGAGCGTGCAGGTCATTAGCACATCCTTGATGTGCGGCTCCTCTCTGGAGCCATTGTGCTTCATTTTCACCCCCTAATTCCTCTGTTTTTTTTCCCTTTCTTTAGATCAAAGGTTTGGAGTGGCTTGTGTCCTTGTACAATAACAACCTGAATGGTATCCTGGCAGATGAAATGGGTCTGGGCAAAACAATCCAGACCATCGCTTTAATTACATACCTCATGGAGCACAAACGGATCAACGGACCCTTCCTCATTATAGTACCTCTCTCGTAAGTGCAGCGGGTGAATTTGTTGCCCCTCTTTGGTGCTGAAAAGCAGAGAAAATGCTTGGCTGTGCTCTGGCTCTGTTGTGCAAGGCCCACATTTACCATTCCTTCTTTCCTCTCTTGTTTTTTTCCAGAACTCTGTCAAATTGGGCATACGAGTTTGATAAATGGGCTCCTTCTGTGGTGAAGGTCTCATACAAGGCAAGTACTGGCTTGATTTTTGCACTGCCCTCCCGGGCTCTTTTGGCTGCTCSTTTTGCAAGGATTCCTTGAATACCAGTTTGCATTTTCCTCTCCCCGGTATAAGAGGGTTTCCGTTATCAAAAGGAATATGAGACTCTTCCTGGCACTAAATACATTAAAGCCACATTTGTTTTTCATTTCTTAACAAGAGAAGGAATCTGACTGCCCCTGCCTGTACAAATGTTCCAGCCAAAGTGCCTTTATGCAACGTGAACAATTGTTTTCATGTTGATAATAATGATTTCTGCCACTTCTCCTTTCCAAAGAATTCCATCTTGACTCAATATTTCTTTTTGAAACCTTCACACCAGGGCTCTCCAGCAGCAAGACGAGCGTTCGTACCTCAGCTTCGAAGTGGAAAATTCAACGTCTTGCTCACTACTTACGAATATATCATCAAAGATAAGCACATTCTTGCTAAGGTGAGTTCTCCCAGCAGCAGGCAGCAGCATCTCCCCGTTGGGAGCTATTTATATTGCAGTGGAAGGATCACTTGAGCTTGTGGGCATTGTACCCTCGTGACAGAGACAGACCCTGCCCAAAAGACCTTGCCATCCAGGTGGCATTTAGATTATTTGTCTTTTCTTTCCCCTCTTGAGTCTCATTCTCATGTGCTGGGATGAGAGCAGTTGCCGCTTACCCCAACCTGCTGGAGTATTCTCTGTGCCATTCATTACTTTTGGCTGCAAATTGCGTGATACTATATATATTTTTCTTTTAAAAAAAGAAAGTTCGGGGGCTATAAATATTGATTGGAAACTATGCAAGATTTTCCTGGCTTTCCCCCCGCAGCTGATCAGTGGAGGGATATTTATGTACTTCACAGCATGCCCTGGGGCAAGGATCCAACATTTTGGGCTTCCCCGAGGTGTGAGAAGYGCCGTGTCAGAAGGATGCAGCCGACGCGTGAAAGCCCCTCACGGGAGCTGGCTGCGGCTCTGCTTAAAATTAGCTCAGCCTGGCACGGGAAATTGGCAGCGCGGCTGAACCGGGCGGCTGGGGCCCGCSTGTTTGCAGACCCATTGAAGCTGACGGGTCATTTCTCACCTTGACCGGCCTTTGGAGGGAACCCTCTGCTCTTCCGCTCTCTCTTTGCACTGCTGAGAGTTAAATGATTTGATTGTTCCTGGCCCAAAAGCTCAAGAAATACTGAAATTCCCCAAAGCCAGCATCCATCTCTGTCATCTCTCCGACATTCGCATTCCTCCCTTTTTTCCCCCCACTCCCTCCTCTTTTGTCTCTGAGCCAGAGCTGTAAAGTGCTCCTGATGGGAGCAGTTTCCAAGCAGCAGCTTGAGAGGTTTGAGCRGGTTTCCGCGGTCCTGTTCAGCTTTGATCTCTGCTGCTCCCTGGGCCAACTGGGAAGGCCTGGTTTTCTCCAGGGATTTTGGTGCCATTCTCCAGTAAAAGTGCTGCAGTGGAAACTCCTGCCCACGCTTCTCTCGTCCCGCCTGCAGATCCGCTGGAAGTACATGATTGTGGACGAGGGGCACAGGATGAAGAACCACCACTGCAAGCTCACGCAGGTCCTCAACACGCACTACGTGGCGCCCCGCCGGCTGCTGCTCACGGGGACCCCGCTGCAGAACAAGCTGCCYGAGCTGTGGGCTCTGCTCAACTTCCTCCTGCCGACCATCTTCAAGAGCTGCAGCACGTTTGAGCAGTGGTTTAATGCTCCCTTTGCCATGACAGGAGAGAAGGTAGGGGAGAAAGGAGGCGTGGTGAGGGCAGCTTCGGCTGGGACAACACAGTTCTGCTGGTTTGACCTCTGCTAATTAGATTGGGGTCGTTATCTTCCTGTAGAACAGTGTTCCTTTAGCATGGGTCTTACTGGTAGAGTAGAAAACTCTGTAATTGAGTACTGGAAACGAGGCTCAATGGGTTGTTCTCCCATCGCGTGGAGCATCGATGGGAGAAGCCGGTTGGGCTCCTGCCRGGATAGATTCCCCAGCCATGGAGGTGCGTTTAGTGCCATCCTGTTGTTGGTTACGTGTCTGCGTGAAGAAGCTCCTTCTGAATTAACAGCAGCAAGGTTGGACAGGAGAGGTTATCAAACACCTTGGGGAAGATAGAGGAGCTTGAATTTAAAGAACAAAATCAATGCAGAAACCTCAGGCTGTGGGGATTGCATCAGAAGCACTTTTGGCTGGAAAACACGTTCTGGTTGTGCAGTTTATGGASGGTTTCTTCATCACGTCTTGCCCTCACCTTGGGAATCCTGCGGTCTTGGAGGACTGGGGAGGAAAGAGCAGAGTTTCCTCTGGTCATCGCATTAACGGTTTTGTTTCCTGGGTTCTGGTAAAACAGGTGGATCTGAACGAAGAAGAAACAATTCTGATAATCCGACGTTTACACAAGGTGCTCCGGCCCTTCCTGCTCAGGAGGCTAAAGAAGGAAGTCGAAGCGCAGCTACCCGAGAAGGTAAAGGCTGGAAGAACGACCTTGTCCCACCTTCCTGCGTGTCCGTGTTCRTTCTCACCTTGGTTTCACGTGGGGCGTTCGATTAAGAAGTGGCTTAAAGGGTTTCTTGGTAGTGTAGCGTTTTGCGGAACTGGAGCTGACCTCTCCTTGGTCCTTGCAGGTGGAGTACGTGATCAAGTGCGACATGTCGGCCTTGCAGAGGGTGCTCTACAGGCACATGCAGGCCAAGGGAGTGCTCCTCACCGATGGCTCCGAGAAGGATAAAAAGGTTTGCCCGAAGAAGTCCTTGGTTTGGGTAGTTCAGCAGCTCCACCAGACCTTTCTGCTGATGAAGTCGGTGTTAGTTCCTGATTATGAGCACAAAGGCCAGGTCTAGCGAGAGCCCCTCGTGTTCCTTATAATAAAATTCAGAGACTGGCAGCCGTTTTAGAGCATCGATGGGCCAGTCCTCTGCTAAGTGCCTGGCTTGGCCCTGGTTATGGATTGAGGCTGATCCAYTACAGATCCCTCGTGCTTAGATGAGAACCTTGCAGGATGTGGAGGGTCTCCCTGCGTGGAGAGCTGTCTGCCAGCGAGCTCGCTGAGGCCACCAGCTCGCTTTTAAAAGCAATTAAAGAGTCAAACGACAATTAAATAAACAGAAGAGGAAAGAAGAGACACTTCAATTTTGCATTAAAAGCAAAGAGGTGGAGATAAAATTCCCTCTTCTTCCACCCACCTCCTTTCTGCTCTCTGTTCCCCTAAAGCAGCCGGCTTTTAAAAACCCTTTGCTCCTTAGATTTTTCGGGGTGATTTTAATATTTTTCCTTAAAGCCTTGAAATTCATCCTCGATCTATTGGAGGAAAGCCTGCTGCTACTAATAATTAATAATAATAATTAATAATAATAATTAATAATAATAATTAATAATAATTAATAACCATTAATAATTAATAGTAATAATTAATAAGCCCCGGTGCAGTGCTGTTTGGGCAGCTTTTCCAGCTGCGCAGCCCCAGCGTTAACGTTTCCAGCGTTATCCTCAGGATGCAGCCCGTGCTGGATGTGCAGGGCCCAGGCTCGAGGCCTGTGCCCCCAGGCTGGACGCCGCCCGAACGGTTCCCGCTGTTCCCAGGCTCACGTCTGCAATTTCCCATCTCCTTTGTGCAGGGCAAAGGCGGTACAAAAACCTTGATGAATACCATCATGCAGCTGAGGAAGATCTGCAACCATCCGTACATGTTCCAGCACATAGAGGTAACGTGTCCTCCGTTCTTGCACGTGTCTTGACTGCAGATACCGCAGATCGTCCGTCCACCCTCTCCAAATCTGCCCTCCCRTTCGAGGGGAGGTGGGAAGAGCCGTTAAGCCAGACACCTTGGTTTGTTGCTGCTCAGGCCAGCCAGGATCCGGGTGTTAAAGTCACGAGTGCTGGAGCCAGCGGCTTGGCCAGCAGWTAAATAAACTCCGCAGCCTTGAGTGGAGCTCAGGCTCCTTTCAAACCCTCCCTTCTTGCCATCCAGAAGGGTCTGAAATCTGCTCAGACACATTCGGGAAGCAGTGTTGCCTARAGAGGGAAATCAGATGGATTTGCTGCCGGCCTCGTCCCTTCGGACACAGTCTCTCTMTATATAGAGAGAGCAAGAGGTCTGTTTTCTGTCCAGCACTGGGCAAAACGTTTCCCAACGCTTCGTTTCAGTGCCTGCTTCCTAACACAGCCGCCCATTTCACACCAGGGACCGTTGCTGTTGCTGCCAGTTCTCCRGACCCCACGGCCCGCTTTCCTTTGAGGGCATTTCCAGCACTTTGCTGCATTTCTTGGTTGGAGCTCCAGGTTTTATTGACGGTTTTTCTCTTTCTGCTTGCAGGAATCCTTTTCGGAGCACTTAGGTTTCACTGGTGGTATTGTGCAGGGGTAAGTAGAGTATTTTAGACTGACAGCAAGTGACTTTTTTGGCATCTGTGTGTGTGTGGATGTGGTGTGGGTGATGGGTGCACGCCGAGTGACTTAGCGCTGTGCTGGGTGCTCACGATGCTTGGGAGAGGAAGACACYTTTAGCACTGAACTCCCGTCTCCCCTCTTCTCTCCCAGGCTGGATCTGTACCGAGCCTCGGGGAAGTTTGAGCTCCTGGACAGAATTCTCCCCAAGCTGCGAGCCACCAACCACAAGGTGCTGCTCTTCTGTCAGATGACCTCCCTCATGACCATCATGGAGGATTATTTTGCCTACCGCGGCTTCAAATACCTCAGGCTGGACGGTGAGCGCGTGCGCCATGCGGGGCTGCAGCCCCTGGCGTGTCCCACCGACGGAACCCCCGGGGGTGCCGCCGAGCAGCGCCCGGGGACGCTGCTTCCCTGCATRTCCCACTGTTCCCCTGCAGCAGCTGCCTCTGGGGACAAACAGCGCATCCGTGAAGCGATAAACCACGCTCCGGATGCAGGAAAATAAACCCTAAGGGCCARCCCTTGAATTTATAAAAGCTGCTGCTGCTGCTCAAGTTAAGTTCAACTTATCTGCTGTTGCATCTTGAAAACCTGGGAGATGCCCTTAAGGGCCAGGTGGTCCTCTACTGTATTGAAGTAATCTAARTACAGTATAAATACAAATTATTTGAAGCTGAATTTAATCAGGAGGAGTGCAGCATAAACTGTAAGGTGGAAACATCGAATCTCACAAGAAGTCAATTTATCATTTTATGTCGGAATGAGACATGAAATACTTGCAAATGAAAAAAGAAAGGCACGTGAAGCCACGAGGTGGCTGAGGTGTGCCCAGACCCTGCCCTCCTGGGTAGCACCAGGGTACTGATGTTTAGGGGCTTGACTTCTGAATTAAGACAGAATTAGCAGGAAGTCAGAAGTGCGAAACAAGAGCAAAGCCCTTAGTGTTAATCGAGGCTTCCTCACCTGGAGTGCCACGAGTTCAGTGGGGCTCTGGGAACCCTTCGCTCCTTACGTCACAAAACCCGTGGGCTGCTTGGAGCGGCGCCGGCCGCGCGGAATCCGGCCCTTCCCGTTAGGAGCAGGGCGGCAGTCGTCCCCGCGCGCCCGATCCCGCTGCATTCCCGACACGTTCCACGGGAGAATCCCTGCCCACAGTGCCAAGGCCTCCATGGCCTCGGCGGCAGCAGCCGCRGCTTCTGCCGCTGCTCCCTTTCCGTAGGGATGAGCTTGTCCGCGCTCTGCCCGGTCCCAACTCCTGGGTGACACCTCTGGGGGTGTCTGGAGACCCCGGCTGTTCTGCGGAGCCRGTTTCCCGGGATTCCCACCTCGGGGAGCTGGAAGAGGACGGGATGGGGGAACACGGGCCAGGAGAGACCCCGGCCTGCTCGCTTGCTGCTGCAGGCGACGTTCTGTCGCGCTGGGCTTTACCAAACCCTGTCTTAACCCAGCTGTGGTTTGGTCCTGCTGCCATTGCGAGAGGCTGCCCGGAGCTCTTGCCTTGGGAGGTCTCCTGATCCACAGCCTAAGCTTGCTCCCGGACCAAACGGACCAAGTTTTTCCTATCCGAGCCCTTCCCGCCGGCTCTGGCTGTTGCTCTTCCCGTCCGCCCTCCCGGCCTTTCTACCGAAAGCGACCGCGCGTCAGGCGGACCGAGTCGCGCTGTAGCGGCCGCCTGTCCCGTCAACACCATCACCGTGCCCGGGCTCCCTTCCCAGTGTGCTGCCCATCATCACCGGCCGCTGCTGGAGAGGGCTCCTCGCCAGGGCCATCGAGCCCGGTGCCAAAACGCTGGTGGCTGTGGCACAAGCGGCTCTCCCGGGTGTCCCAGGGCTGTCCCTGCTCCGTGCGGGACAGCGGGAGCGCTCCGAGCGACGCAGGATCCCTTCTCCCGCCGCGGTGCCTCGTGTCACTGCGGAAATAACCCTGCCTCTCCTTCCAGGAACGACTAAAGCCGAAGACCGGGGCATGTTGCTAAAGACTTTCAATGAGCCCGGCTCCGAGTACTTCATTTTCCTGCTGAGCACCCGCGCGGGCGGGCTGGGGCTCAACCTGCAGTCTGCAGACACTGTGATCATCTTCGACAGTGACTGGAACCCCCACCAGGTAAAACACCCCGAACCACAACCACAACCAAACCGAAACACAGCCCGAACCGAGAACGAACCGAACACAGCCAGCAGCCCCAAAAGCGGGGAGGTTTGGGGGTAAAAAACCCCAAAACAGAACCAAAACCCAAACCAAAACACAGCACAAACTGAGAACAAACCGAACACAGCCAGCAGTCCCAAAAGCAGGGGGNGGTAAAAAACCCCAAAACAGAACCAAAACCCAAACCAAAACACAGCACAAACTGAGAACAAACCGAACACAGCCAGCAGTCCCAAAAGCAGGGGGGCTTTAGGGGTAAAAAACCCCAAAACAGAACCAAAACACAAACCGAAACACAGCACAAACTGAGAACAAACCAAACACAACCAGCAGTCCCAAAAGCAGGGAAGTTTGGGGGTAAAAAACCCCAAACCACAACCAGAACGCAACACGAACCAAAAACAAACCAAACACAACCAGCAGCCCCAAAAGCAGGGCTTTTTTTTGAGGGGTAAAGAGCCCCAAAACAGAACCAAAACACAGCACGAACTGAGAACAAACCAAACACAACCAGCAACCTCAAAAGCAGGGGGGGTTTTGGGGGGTAAAAAACCCCAAAACACAACTAAAACTCAAGCCAAAACACAACACAAACTGAAAACAAACCAAATGCAACCAGCAACCCCGAAAGTAAGAGGTTTTGGGAGTAAAAAAACCCAAAACACAACTAAAATACAAACCAAACCACAACACGAACCAAGAAGAAACCAAACACAACCAGCAACCCCCAAAGCAGGGGGTTTGCGGGGTAAAACCTCCCAAAAAAACAACCGAAACACAACACAAAGCGAAAACAAAGCAAACTCAACCAGCAAYGCCGAAAGCAGGCTTTTTTGGGGGAGTAAAAAACCCCAAAACACGAACGAAAACACAACACAAACCAAAGACAAACGAAACACAAGCAGCAACCCCAAAAGCAAGGGTGTTTTGGGGTAAGAAACCCCAAAACACCAACGAAAACACAACACAAACCAAAAACAGACCAAACACAAGCAGCAACCCCAAAAGCAAGGGGGTTTTGGGGGTAAAAAAACCCAAAACACAAACAAAAACACAACACAAACCGAAACCAAACCAAACACAACCAGCAACCCCAAAAACAAGGGGGTTTTGGGGTAAAAAACCCCAAACCACAACTAAAACCAAACCACAACAAGAATCAAGAASAAACCAAACACAACCAGCAACCCCCAAAGCAGGGGCGTTGCGGCGTAAAAAAACCCCAAAACACAACCAAAACACAACACAAAGCGGAAACAAACCAAATGCAACCAGCAACCCCCAAAACGGGGGTTTTGGAGGTCAAAAAACCCCCGAACGGAACCRAAACACGAACCAAAACACAACGTGAGGGCCTCGCTCCGCCGGGGAGCTCTTGCCCCTCTCCGTGCCGAGCGTGGGACCGGCGGCCTCGAGCYGCCGCGGGCCTTGGCAAGCCGGGTTTATGTGGCCCGAGCGGCCGCTCTCGCCCCTCCGCGCTGCCAGCCCTGCCCGTGGCCCTCGTGTCGGACCTGGGACCCTTCCCTCCTCGGCCCCGGCGCGCTGCCGTGCCGCGGGGCGCTTTGCYGACAGCAGCACGTGTGACGGTTCCCGGTCGGCCGCGGGGCCCGGAGCCCGTGCTCCGTGCTGCACGGAGGCCCCGCCGTTCGGCTTTCACCCTCGGTGCTCGCTCGGAGCCCGGGACCGGCCCGGCAACCCTCTGGAAGCGGCTCTCCGGGAGGAGAAGGCAGCGATAAAGAGCCTGCAAGAGCCAGCCCGAGCGGCAGGCGCCCCAGGGTGGTTTATCCCGCGTTTCCCGGCGCGCAGCCAGTCCCCTAAGGACAGACGGAAACGCGTGGCCGTGAGCCGGGCTCCTKTGGTGGGCTGGCGAGGGGACCCGCCGTCCCCCCGGGAGGGAGGCGCCCTGTAAATCCCCGGCCAACGCTGCGCGCTTCCCCGGCAGGACCTGCAGGCGCAAGACCGCGCGCACCGCATCGGGCAGCAGAACGAGGTGCGCGTGCTGCGCCTCTGCACCGTCAACAGCGTGGAGGAGAAGATCCTCGCCGCCGCCAAGTACAAGCTCAACGTGGACCAGAAGGTCATCCAGGCCGGCATGTTTGACCAGAAGTCGTCGAGCCACGAGCGCCGAGCGTTCCTGCAGGCCATCCTGGAGCACGAGGAGCAGGACGAGGTAAGGGGCCGCTGAGCGGCGCTTCCCGCGGCTCCGGAGCGCGGCCGCCCACCGCGTTTTTGCTCGCCGGCCCCTCGCGGCCTCGAGGCCCAGGGCGCGGGGGCTGCAAGGAAGGAGCATGAGCACTTGTTGCTGTTTGAAGTGAATTTTCGCGTCGGGGGAAAAGTGCCGGATTGACAGCCCTGGAGACTGAAGTCCTCTATTTATCCACAGACCAGATACAGCGCGGGCAGCGGCAGTGGCAGTGCAAGCTTCCCCCACACTGCCTCCACCCTGTGCCTGAACGCTGAGTTGGAGGAACCACCTCTAAAGGTGAGAGGGGTTGTTCAGTCTCCATGCCCATTCAATCCTCGGCCTTGCTGCTGAGTCTGCCAGCGCCCGTGCCAGCTCTTGACGCTGCTCTCGCAAGGTGCCTCCCTGCCCGCTAGAACCCGCACTGAGGCCGCCCAAAAAGAACACAGCAAAATAAGATGAGAGAGAAAAAAAGACACTTTTTTTTTTCACGGGCACCCGAACCCGCGTCGGATGCTATCGATGTTCGGTGCCGCTTTTTTCGCTCCCGAGCGTAGGACCRGCCGCGGCGCCTTCTCTCGCCGCTCACCGCGGGGCTTTGTCGCCTTGCAGGAAGAAGATGAGGTTCCCGACGATGAAACGGTCAACCAGATGATCGCGCGCCACGAAGAGGAGTTTGACCTTTTCATGGTGAGCATGGCACAGGCGGCGGAGGAGAAGCGAGGCCTGCCGTTCTCCGGGGTAGCGGCTAAAACGGTCTTTCTAACAGAACCCAACTGAGAGCTTAACGGAGCCGTGATTCGTTCCGAGCGCCACAGGTAACAGCAGGGCGGGGGCGGCCGCGCCGGCCGCTCGGAGGGCCGAGGCCGAGCCCCGCGCGGGCACGGCGGCGCCCAGGGCTCTGTCCTGCCGGGCTTGACGGGCCCCGAGCGGGACCTGGGTGAGCTGCGCGAGCTCTCGCCTAAAGAGGAGCGGAACCAGGAGCGTTTCCCACCCGCGGGAGCTCCCGTCCGAACGGGATGAGGAGAGGGCAAGAGAAGAGATGGAGGCGGAACCGGTTCCCCCCGCAGGAGGAGGGAACATCAACCCAAAGCCTCGGTTGAGGATTACCCGCCCCGGCCTAAGGCCCTAGTTCAGGCCTTATTAAAGTGAATTAAGCGTTGATTAACGYGGGGTGTCCGTGTAAGGCTTCGGCCGTCTCCTCCGGAGCCGCAGGCGCGTTCACGCGCGTGCCGGCCGGGAGCGGGTGGCAGAGAGCACCGGGAGGCCGATGCGGGAAAGGGATTCACGGGAGCCGCCCGGCTCCGAGGGCAGCCGTGTTAATGAGGGCAGCCGTGTTAACGAGAGCAGCCGTGTTAATGAGGGCAGCCGGGCTAATTGGCCGTAGCGGCTCCGCTCCCGCCTCACCAAGCCCTGCGCCAGGGCCCGTGCTTAACCGTCCGTACCGGGCCGGCCGCACCGAGACCCGTTGGTCCCGGCCGCGGTTCCTGCCGTCCGGCCGCGCCGCGGCCCCGGGGATGGCGGCGATGGATGGACGGATGGATGGATGGGTGGGTGATGGATGGGTGGATGGACGGATGGATGGACGGATGGATGGATGGATGGACGGACGGGTGGGTGGATGGACGGATGGACAGATGGATGGGTGGATGGACAGATGGATGGATGGGTGGGTGGATGGATGGACAGATGGATGGGTGGATGGATGGATGGGTAGATAGATGGATGAGTGGATGGATGGACGGATGGACGGACGGATGGATAGATGGACAGGTGGATGGGTGGGTGGATGGATGGACAGATGAATGGGTGGATGGATGGATGGGTAGATAGATGGATAAGTGGATGGATGGACGGATGGATGGGTAGATAGATGGATGGGTGGACGGATGGACGGATGGACGGATGGACGGACGGATGGACAGATGGACAGGTGGATGGGTGGGTGGATGGATGGACAGATGGATGGATGGATGGACGGATGGATGGACGGATGGACAGATGGATGGGTGGGTGGATGGATGGACAGATGGATGGACGGATGGATGGACAGATAGATGGACGGATGGATGGACGGATGGACAGGTGGATGGGTGGATGGATGGATGGATGGAGGGATGGATGGACGGACGGATGGACAGATGGATGGACAGATGGATGGACGGATGGACGGACGGATGGACGGATGGACAGGTGGATGGGTGGATGGACGGATGGATAGACGGATGGACAGATGGATGGGTGGGTGGATGGATGGACAGATGGATGGACAGATGGATGGACGGATGGATGGACAGATGGATGGACGATGGACGGATGGATGGACGGATGGACAGGTGGATGGGTGGGTGGATGGATGGACAGATGGATGGGTGGATGGATGGATGGACGGATGGATGAGTGGATGGACGGACGGACAGACGGATGGCGGCTCGGATGGACGGATGGACAGGTGGATGGGTGGGTGGATGGATGGACAGATGGATGGGTGGATGGATGGATGGACGGATGGATGAGTGGATGGACGGACGGACAGACGGATGGCGGCTCCGCAGCCCCACGCCCGCCCCACAGCCCCGACCTCTCCTTGYAGCGCATGGACCTGGACCGGCGGCGCGAGGAAGCGCGCAACCCCAAGCGCAAGCCGCGCCTCATGGAGGAGGACGAGCTGCCCTCGTGGATCATCAAGGACGACGCCGAGGTGGAGCGGCTCACCTGCGAGGAGGAGGAGGAGAAGATGTTCGGCCGCGGCTCCCGCCACCGCAAGGAGGTGGATTACAGCGACTCGCTCACCGAGAAGCAGTGGCTCAAGGTACACAGGGCGCAGCCTCCTCCTGCAGCGGCCTCCTCCAGCCTCCAGCCTCCGCCCGTGTGAGCCCGGGAGGCCACTCGGCGCTGCCCGCCCTGCCGCGGCCCCCGGGGTCGCCCCACGGAAGGGAGATCCCACATGGAAGGGAGATCCCGCACAAAGGGCGAGCGGCCCGTTTGGGAGCAGGAGCCGCCTCGGCTCCTGCGATGTTGAGGCCRGGCCTTCGCGGCCGTGGAGAGGCTCCAAGTGCACCCGCTCCGGGCGCTGCCTCTCGTCRTCCCCATTGCCCCCCGGAGCACCAGGAGCCGCTCGGCAACCCCCCTTTAATGCTGGAACGCCCCCGGTGACCTCCAAAGCCCGTTGGGGGCCGGGGCCGCCTCATTTGAAGCCCGAGCGCGGCCCCGATGCCGGGCGCGGGGCCCTGCGGAGCTGCCTGCCGGGAAAGGGGCGCGTCCGTGGGGACAGGCCACGTCCAAGGTGCCAGGGCGCATCCACGGGGACGGGACACGGTGCTGGGGTGTATCCGTGGTGCCAGGGGCACATCTGTGGTAGCAAGGATGCATCCA